ATGATGTCATTTATATAGATGTACGGACAGACTGGTCACCAGAGTTGATTGTAGGGCTAAGTTCCTAGGTGAGTATGATGGAGGTGTGTTGTGTGGTTGCTGGGAAGAATGTTTCAGGTTAGGGGATTGCCTGTAGGCGAGGACTGGCCTGTTCCCCAAGGCCTGTGAGAATGAGGGATTATTTTCCAGAAGTTATGGATGGTTAATAATGTGCTGGGGGGAGGGGTTTAAGTTGGGGCTGTGATGACCAGTGGTGGGTGATGACCAGTGGTGGGTGATGACTAGTGGTGTTCTGTTGCTTTCTTTGTTGGGCCTATCTTAAAGAAGCCGCTGCCTAGGTGCTTGTCTGGCTCTGTCAATCTGTTTTTTCACATTGTATTTAAGTTTAAAGAATGCTTGATCTGGATCCTGTAGATGTTTGCCCCTGTCTGTGGGATTGGAGCAAATCCAGTTGTAACTTAGGACCAGGCTGTAAACAATTGATTGGGAAATGTGTCTTGGATGGAAGCTAGAGGCACGAAGGTAAATATAACAGGAGTAGGTTTCCAATATAAGGTGGTAGAAATGTGGCCGTTGCTTAATTGTACTATAAGTCAAGGAAGTGGATCTTGTGTGCACTTGTCCAGTACTGGTCCAGACTGAGGTTGATGGTGGAATGGAAGTTGTTAAAATCCCTGTGGAATTCTTCAAGGATCTCCTTCCCAGGGGGCCAACATAATGATGATGTTGTCAATATAGCGTAAACAGAGGAAGCGTTCTAGTGGACGAGAGCTGAGGAAATGCTGCTTGAGGTCAGCCATAAAAATGTTGGCATATTCTCGGGCCAAGCAGGTGTCCATGGCTTTGCTGCTGACTTGAAGATACAAATTGTCCCCAAATTGGAAATAGGTGTGAGCGAGGACAAAGTTGCAGAGCTCTATAACCAGGTGTGCAGTGGTATCATTGGAGATGGTGTTCCTGTCAGCCAGGAATCCATAATTGTGTGGAATGTTGGTGTAAAGAGCTTCTACAACCATGGTGGCCAGGATGGGGTTTTCAGGAAGATTAGTGATGTTCTGTAGTTGCCTCAGGAAGTCAGTGGTATCTCGAAGGTAGCTAGGAGTAGCATAGGGTCTGAGGAGAGAGTCAATATAACCAGATAATCCTGTTGTAAGTGTGCCGATGCCTGAGATGATGGTTCATCCTGGATTTCCAGGTTGTGGCTCTTAGGGGGCAAATAGATAACTCCTGGTCGGGGTTTTTTTTTTGGGGGGGGAGGGACTGTTAGTGTAGATTTGGTCCTGAGCTGGAGCAGGAAATTTCATGAGCAGGTGGTTTGGGGAGAGGGTTGATATTTAGTGGGATCAGAGGAGAGAAGTCTGTAGAATCAGGTGTTGGAGACACCTGGTGTTGCAGTCACAGCATGGGTAGCAGCCCCCAGCACGATTTGTTTTTCACCCTAGAATAGCTGGGTACAGGAAGCTAGTTGCTGGTTGAGTGATTCAATTCACAAGTAACCTCCTCACACCCACAAATGCATTCAGGGATTTTCGTAGTTCACTCAGGTCAAGTCAATGCAACTGCTGCTGGGCTCACAGAGGCTTGTGCCCCTTCTTTACAAGTGCCCTTTTAGCTCTGCTCTGCAATGATGAGCTGCTCACTCGGTTCTGCAGCTAAGGGAGATGGCTCAGAGAAAGAGCAAGTGATTGTCTGCCTGCCTTAGCCCTTCCCTACCCCCTTAAAAAAAAGCTAAGTACTGTTGGAGTAAAGGAATGTAAAACATTTAAATGGGCAACGCTTTGGTGGGCACTTTTCTGCAAATACTACCAGCTGCTCAGGGTGCTTGGCATGGACAGTAGCTCTGGTGGGCAAAGCTGGTATTTCTCATAAGCTAGACCTCCCATGAAGATACAGGACTAGATATCTGCCCACCTGCCTTGTACCATGCTGGCAGTGTAATGGGCCTGCAACAGGCACAAGGGAGCAATCCTAGAATCAGTTAGGGGTCTGATTTGCATAGCTCTTGGCTGGTCTCAGTTTAGAGCAGGACTGAGCAAGATGCGGCCTGGGGGCTGGATCCAGCCTGCCTAACACTTTGATCAGCCTGTAGACCGCATCTGGTCACTTTCTATGTATATCCTGCAGCCTGGGCCACTGTATATCCAGGCAATGGCTCAGGCAGCAGGATCCAATTTAAATAGCTGCCGGCTGATGGCTGCAGAGATACCCTGACAGGGGCTGGAGCAGCTGCAGCAGCTCCAAGTGGCTGCCAGGCTGTGTGGTAGTGGCAGGGCTGGGCTGGGAGCCACAAGCCCTTTGCTGTTTTTAATTCAAATTTTTTTAAAAAACCCATGGGTGAAAAACCTTTCCCCACCTCTCTCACTGGCCAGAACCATGGCCAGTGGGAGCAACTAAGGGTAGTGCCTGGGAGCAGCAGGGAGCATGGAATCAGGTAAGCATCCCCCATGCTCAGACCCCCCCCTCGCCCACTCTGTTCCTGCACCCTCCACCTCCTCCCACTGATACGCGGCTTCTGCATTGTCCTGCACAACTCCCCCTCCCCCCGAGCCTGCTCCTGCACCCTACCTCCCATCCAGACCCCATATCGCAACCGCCTGCTGCATCCACTTTGTAATCAGGGATGGTCTGCAGAAAGGTTTGTGTTGAGCAGAGTGGGCCGCAGGCCAAAAAGTCTGAGAACCACTGCCCTACAGACTTCATGGGGCATTTATATCACCCATATTCACAGCCAGCTCTTCAGTCCATGTGCTACACTAGGAGCAGCAGTACTGAAGTGGCAACCACAGCCAGCAAGGGCAAGAGTCAAAGTGGAAGGCAAGCTGGAGGTGGAGCCAGGGGAGTGGGGAGAAGAGGGACGGCAAGAAAGATCTGTACCAAAACTTACATTCCAGTTACGGCACTGCACCAGGAAAACCAAACCTGTTCAACCATGTCCAGCTTTTAGCCTTGACAAGCTGTAAAGTCAAAGCAATTTCCTCCCACAGGAGAAATCATCTTCGGCATGTCTGATCAATCCTGTGCCGCCTCCTCCCCTCAAGCTATATGCAGTGTTATTCATACCTAGCTCTGTACCAAGCGGCATGGCAGGGTTTATTCAGTTTTAATACTGGCCTCGAGTAGAAAAATCTGTTAAAACAATAAGGCAGTAGTTTCACACAGTCATTCACATCTGTCTGACAAACAGGCTGCCAGCCTAGCCATTTCCTAAGTTGTTAGATGATACCTACCATCTAGGGAAGGCAGTGTGCTCGCCAGCTGGTACCAGGGTTGACATACTAGTTTTTCCACAGCTCATCTGTAACCTTATCCAAGTGGCCACAAAGCACATTTTAGGTAGAGAATGCAACTACTGGAAATTCTCCGTGGTTATTTTTACCATTTTTCCAGCTCAGGTACTGGCTGAGCTGCATGTACCAGACAACTATTAGGCAGCTGGTGAAGAGATACAGGCATTTCCAGAGGAATTGCTGCCTGTCAGCTGAAGTGCCCTTTTTAAGAGTCTCCCTCCCCTCCCCCAACATCCAGCTCCTGACACCTGGCATTAGGGAGAGGTAATTCATCAACTATTCTAGTAATACAGGAGGCACACTCCACACAAACTGAAGTGTGGTTCGCTCAACTTCACAGGTGCCGCAACTAGGGGTGCTAAAGTACACCCTGGCCGAAAGTGGTTTCCATTGTATACAGGGTTTACAGTTTGGCTCAATGGCTCTCAGAACCCGCACTATAAAAAATGTTCCAGCCCCCCCTGCTTAATTTACTGACCAAGGCCACTAATAGTGTGATGGTTTTGGGTTCATTGAGTCCCCACCACTCTTCACACTGTTCTGTATTGCTGGCCTCCACATCATCCAGCCATCTTCAACTGAGGAAGCACAGACAGTCATGCATTCTTTTGGTGGATCATGGATGAAGCTTTTGCTTTCAGTAAAGACTTGCCTACAATTCTTGGTACCAAGTATTGAAATCAATTAAGAAAAATATAGTAATCAAGAAATATGGTTACTTGTTTCTTTTCCTTTCTATGCTTCATTAAGCTTCTTTCAGAGCTGAAACATACCAGCTGTGGGTTATTCAAGCGTAAAGTTTCGCACCCAACAAATCCTTACATAAGGATTTGTGTGTGAAGAGGGAACATTGCTACCAATGTCTAGAGTGTGCATTTAAAAAAATAAAATTTCTAATTATGACACATTTAAGCCTGCACGGTGGAAGTTATGACAATTTGTGAGACTATCCAGAATGTGATTTTCACTTAGTCGCTTAAGAGCCATCCAGAATGATGTACTTTAAGCTACTGTCTTTTCCACAGAGCCTAAGGCCCAGGTGTTAGCTTTTGCCCTATTGAGGTCACTTCAAAGATTTAGCTGTGTTCTTAGGAGACAGTTCTAACACCACCATCTTAAAGCCTAACAAAACAGGTAGATGGTATCATGAGCTTTCGTGGGTATAACTCAATCCTTCAGATGAATGGAGTATTAAAAGTCCAGTTCCAAATCCACATCCTCATGACTTAACCAACCAAACAATGGATACTTAGGAAAATTCACACCTTCTCTATCAGCTTCATGTAACATGAACACTAATTCACCACTATTTTTTCCCTTCCTTCTCCTCCCCCACCAGCCTATTTATTTTGGAACTGGACTTTTAATACTTCCACAAAAGCTCATGGTGCCATCTACATGTTTTGTTAATCTTTAAGATGCTGCTAGACCGTTCGTTGTTTTAATTTCTTTCCAGTTACAGACTAACTCAGCTACTCCTCTGAAGCTAACACCAACAGTTTGCGCTTCCACTTCCATTTCACTAAGTGCTGCAATCACAAAAATTCAAATGTTTCAAAGTCACCCCCCCTCTTTCGTGAAAAGACAGGCCATTTCTGACATCACGGTGGGCAAATCCTCCATGAAAAAAACATGTTCAATGATTCTGCTTTATAATGGCACTGACACATGCTCAGTATTGTCAGCCTTAAGTGTTCCAAAAAAAAAAAAAAAAAAAACCAGTCTCCCCTCCAAAACAAATCTGAGTTTCTCAAAATGAAAATTAATTTTTTTTTAGATTCTTTATGTTTGCCTCCTAGTTTTTGACCCTTTTGAGTTAATCTTTCCAAGCTTTTCCATTCTGAAGATAAACCCCATGAAGAAGACAAACTGAGTAAAGGAAGGTCACTACTGGCTTTTTAAAAAAGAGCAGATATCAGCGTCTACCTCATCTATGATCAGTCAGAAAATGTTCTTTTCAGGAGTTGGAAATATGCCTGCATTTTCTCTTGGAGTATTATTTCTAATTCTTCACAGAGACTAGTAGCACAAGAAAATACACCATTTAAAAATCCTTTTGTTTTAATACTGCACATCAGATGAACGCAACTTAACGTACTTATGCCTGAGATGGAAGATATATACAGATTTTAGAAATTTTTAAAGAGGTGTGCTAATTTCAAACTTCTGATCTTCTAAAATACTTACAAAGCCTATTTTTTAAAAAAATATGTGGACACTTTTAGATTTGGTATGGTTTGACAGAACATACATATCACTACACCCAAGAGCTGCTTTATTTTCCTGTGATATTAGGTCAAGAAAAGCAAATTATTAAAAATGCAAAGTCACTTGGCACTAATAGGTAACAAAGGTGTTGTCCCTTTAGAAGTAGGAGATTTCCAGTGGCTACAGTCTACAAGGCAAAGTTGTCTGGATTTACAGGATGTAGTATTTGAAAAGTACAATGACAGCGCAAAGGTAACAGTCCTTACAAAAATTCTAAGTACAGAAATTGCAAATTCCTGAAAATAAAGATAAAGTTTCAAGCAATGACAGAATCTCAACCTGATTAAACAGTTGCCTGCCCATACTAATACAAATGGCCATGTTTTTGGTTCTACCACTTTAAGAATGAAAATACAGTTAACATTCAATACCATGTCAATTTTGTTTCGAGAGCTCTCTCACAACCATTCATAGTCTTGATAGGTTTTCAATTGGCCAAACATTTTACTTCAAGTATAAAGAAGGGGCAATTGAAAATAATGTTGATAGTTATATAATTGTTTCAAGAGGTAGCACTAGTTAAGACTGTTGTACAGTCTAATTTTATCTTGGTATAATCATCTTAAATTGCTCTGTATTATCTGTCACTAATCATAACACTGTACAGATCCTCTAAATGCCTCAGATCACAAATATTTCAAATGTAAATACAGTATTATGGAACATTTGTATATGATGGTATAAGGTATGTATGTATATAAATAATGAGTAGCCAGAGCACTGCTAAGGATTTATTCTGAAGCTTTTACTTTAAGCTCTTATATCATGAAAGATTGTTTTAATCTTTACAAACATGTATTAGAAACTGAGATGTTTTTATTTCTATCATTATAAAAGTAACACAGAAGACCATTCTAAACCATCTTCAATGCAGACCAATCATTTTGTATATAAACTGTACACAAAAACAAGGCACTATACATTTTTGGATATTGAAATATAAAGATTGATTTGCATAGTCTCTAAAGAAACCCATGCCATAAATACAAATGCTTTGTTCAGTTTAGCACCTGAAGCAGCACTGAGAACAATTCATTATCTATTGCAAAGAGAATCTTTTCAGAATGCATAACATATAGATGGGTTGTATAGCTAATTCAGCATAAGCAACTGCTGTTCAGCTACCTTTCTGTAGAGAGATTTTTATACACAAAGTCTTGAAAGTGAATACAATTATATTGTTAAATACATACTTGTTCTATGTGTTTATATAAATATAAATTCTTTGTAATCCACAAACTACCAAAATAACACTTTACAAAGAGAACATCTTCAGAAAACACATGGCAAGTACATCTAGCCAAAGGATTGTTGTAGGAGTAGCTTGAGAAGCTACCCTTTAAGTGCACAGGGGAACAACTTTTAAACATGTTACCCTTGGAGTTGAGACAAAGTTTCCAAAGAGTTCTCTTGCACATTTACAGTATTACACAACTCAAGGTCAGGCAGTATCTAAAAATTTATCATCTCTAATTTATCTTTTGAACACTAATTCAGAGCAATTCATTTTGCTAATTTCAAGGTGTTGAAAGTGATGATACAGATCCCTTAGGTGCTATCACTAAGTGATAACATTACTTAGAAAAGTCCTTTTGCTTTTTTCACATTAACCTGCTTCCAAGAGGGCAGTGCATTGTACTCCTCTCTTGTCATCTCTAAGGCGACCTGAAATTAAGACAAATTAACACACAGTTAGGAAAGTCATTTACTAAACTCAAAGTGCTCAGCAATCAAGTGGCGAAACTGTCAACACATGCATGTACACATGCAATGTACCCTCCCACCTGCCTCTGTTTACCTCAAAGTCTTCATCTGAAAGATAAATTTCAAGTTTCAGTGGATCAACTCCCTCAGGTAGAGGCCTAGCTAAGAGATCTGCTAGTGGATACACAGTTTTGCACAGCTTGGCTAATACATCCTCTACAAGGATTATCTGATTAGAAACTTCAGCATCCTGGAGGAGAGAGAGAGAGAGAGAGAAAGAGAGGAATATAAGGAAAGAGTTTAGAAACATGCTACATCAGCAATTACTCATTTTAAATACAGCCAACTACATAGCTGGTATTAGTTCTGTCCTAGCTAGGGATGGTTAGCTTGCCCCTTTATTTTAGAAGCAGACTATTCACATTGTGGGCTAACCCATTATTTGGTTGGAACAATTTGCTAGGATCAAATATTTGTATTTAACAACATGGGTTCCCTCTTCCCTAAGAAACTCCATTTCACCCATTTTTTTAATTCCTGTCACTACTTTGTAACTAAGGCAAATCACAGTAGACTCTCAGAGATAGTCAACATCCCTTCTTGGTAACAGTTTACTCTTAAAAACACTCTGAATCTGAGGATTTAAGGAGTGTCATAGATGGGCTGGTGTTAACTCCATTTCCCTGAAAAGGAAGCCAATGCAGAGAGACCCAAACAAATCCCTGTACAAAGGCACTTTTCCATATTTGTCTGGAGATTCTGATTGGAATTACATAAAAAGCATACGCTGCCTTTTTGTTCAGTTACACTGAGATTTTTCCAGGTGAATCATCCGCACTGAAGAACGTGTAGTAATATTTTTGTATGGAAGCAGACAACAGCCCAGTCTGTGGTTTCAAAGAAAATTGGAGCCTGGCTTGTACAGAGACAGAGGCAGGATGTAAGCAAGCTTTTGTGCAGGCCGGAAGTGACACCCTTATTTCATTGTACAATTTTTAGGAAGGATACAAAGTTCAAAATCTTCTAGTTCCAATTCTTAAGCCTTCAATGAATGAAACATTTACTACAATGTATGAACATCTATAACTCATTGAAAATATGTACAATGCATTTATCAATGCTATTTACTTCTTTCCAGATTCCTGAAGTGCATTATTTAGGTTAATCCTCTGGATTTGGGACTTCCCAGCACAAAATGTGCTGGCTGTTAATAACAATATCAAACAAAGTAGAAGAGCAGCAACAGGAAACAATTTCAAGGGAAGATTTGTTTACCATTTCTGTGATCTCAGCTATGTCTTCTCTGTGTTCCCAGCTAGGGAACATATTAGTGAAGGTCAGAGGTTCAAGACCAGCATGAATTAGGTAGGATTTGGGAGGCTTCTTTACATTTTTTCCTAAAACATTCAAAATACAAAAGAAGAGAAGATGTAAACCATGAATGATCTTGCACACACTTAGTTCTGCTATACTGCTGGGGGTTAAATTTCAGCAGGGTCTTTCATCTAGTCTTTGTTTTCACATCAGAGCAACTTTACATACAAATCCAAATATGTAGCTTACCACTGAAAAAGAACAAAACAAAATGGACTCCCCTCCTGACATGCACATGAGGGGGGAATCCCAGAACAGCAGTATGCAAAATACAAATTTGGAGACCACGATAAGAACATCTCAGCTGTCTACAAATGCCACCGAAGTGTGGTGGGAGTAGGTGGAGGTTCTGGTGGTTAGAAGCTAAAATGTACAGGTCTTTAGAAAGCAACATCAATACATGGAATTGAACCTAGATGTGCACAGGAAATCAGTGTAGTTTATGGAGCACTCATGATATGCTTCCTATGGCCAGCTGGCCCCACTGCAATTTGCTGCAGTTGGAACTTATGAAGGATCTTTGAGGGATATCCCGCACACCATACAGACCCCCATAAAAACCCTCTCTGGAGGTCAGAAAAGTAAACCCATGACATCTGCAGTTATTACACCAAGCACTCTTGGCCTGTTCAGTTCATAGCAATAAGGGACCCAGAAGTGTTTCTAGATGATCGATGTTCCTGAAGGAAATGGTGGACAAATGTCATTAAAATGGAGAGAGGCATCATTGCTAAAATAGCCTCACATCATCTTATCTGCAGCCTTGCGCAGCTCACTCTATGCCAAGTACCTCTCTCAGGTAGGCACCAAGAAAGATGGTGATGTCATGACAACTCATGGGTTAGAAGAAATGAAGACAGAGCAGATAGCAACCTCCTGTATACACTGAGCATGGTCAATGATAACAGAACCCTGCAAGAAGATGCCCTGGAGCTATTCCCAAACGTTCCAGGATCCCAGAGGACAAACAGCACCATTACAGGATCAAGAGTGAACCTGTCCATCGTTCTGTCTGGATTTAAAAATATGCAAAATCTTTTTTACCGCTCTGACCCAAAAACCACATGGGGAGCAAAGGGGTTGCAGAAATCTCAAAAGATCTGGTGTGTACATTCTAGTCTACCAAGGAATGGCATGGGAGGTCAGCTGGATCATCATCATCATTGTGAATTCCACACACAATACACATAACTCCTTGAATCTACCAACTATGTTGTTTTCATGTCTCTATCAAGTCAAAACAGATTTTCTTTTAGACAGGAGGTAAACAACATCTCTCTCTGTTGGGGTGTAAATTGAGTATTGTAAGCTAACACAACGGATACCCATAAATACATGAAGTCAAACGTTATGAAGTCAACAGGGAAAGAGCACACAGAAAAGAACAATGCAAGGGGGAAGGGAAGTGGAGGTTAAACTGGCTGAGAGTAAATAAAAATCAACTTTGGGGGTATATCTAGGAGGCATAAGAAGAGACAGCTCACTCTGTACCTAGGGAAGTAAAGAAACAGCATGTTTGCATTCATGAAAATGGGGGCTCCAGCAGCCTTTGCTGAAAATGCTGCAAAAGACTGAGTGAGAACCTTCTTTAGACCCAGTCAACTGTTAGTTAAGCTGGAACATTATGTTGCATTTCATAGGTAGCTGTTTGTTCCCAATATTCTTACTATTATTTGCATGTTGAATGTTTGATAATTGAAATTAGCCTTCCTTTATACTAAAAATACATCTAAGTGTGGTAGTAAGACGTACGATGTGGTAGTAAGCAAAATGCTAATCCTGAATTGAATTTTACAAGCAGGTTCCTTTGAGAACCTGGTAACCCTTTGATACTGGCGTGTGTCGCTGGACATCACAGGGGAATGCTTCAAAATGACTCAAAGAACAGTGTAATCTATTGTTACACTGCAAGGCAAACTAGAGCAAGAATCGTCCAGGAGAGGGGCTTTGGGTGGCTAACAGGTTGGTGGTATTAGGAAGCCTCATGCCCAGATAAACCCAAGCAAGACTCTCTCCTCCCACTAGAGACAGAAGGTAAAAAGGGGACTCTCAGTTCTAGGTACCCAGAGAACCCTCACATTCACGTACTCAATTCTGCAAATTGTGAGCATTACGTGTTTTGTTTCAGGTAAAACATTTATAGCAAATGGATTAGAAATAATTTAGTCAAATGGAGAAAAAACCAACCTAGAGAACTTTAATCTCAAATATCCCAATGAACAAATTAGCAACACGTCAGAATCCTTCAGTTAAATAATTTAGACATGACATTTATCATCTGAGTTTTTTTTTTTTTTAAGTTTTAATCCTCCTGTTCTACAATCACATTGCGGAAACTGCTTGAATTAGCCATGGAATACTATCACAACTACTGGAAAATTGTTTTAGCCCAGTCTAGACAGTAAGCAACTCTGTTCAGTGATACTAGTTGGGTAGCATAGGCAGGGTTGCTTGTGTCAGATAACTCTAATAGGGTATGTCTACACTACCACCCTAGTTCGAACTAGGGTGGTAATGTAGGCAACCGGAGTTGCAAATGAAGCCCGGGATTTGAATTTCCTGGGCTTCATTTGCATCTTGCCGGGCG